ACATACATACATAAATACATACATACATACATACATACATACATACATACATACATACATACATACATACATACATACAAACTACTATATATATACATACATACAAACAAACAAACAAACAAACAAACATACATACATACATACATACATACATACATACATTATGCATGCATGCACATATACACATTCGAGCAAAAGTAACAGGATCAATACGAAAGATAATTAGCCAAACTATTCTATATCTTTTTTCTTTATTGACTAGGTTTTCGAGACTACCAGTAAATCATATATATGAGATGTGTTCACCCTATTTGGTGATGAAGGACTGATAGTTGATTTTTCCAACAAGTAGGGCTGACGTTTTCATTGAATTTCACATAGCCGTGCTTTCCCAAAAGATGTTATCATTCAGGGTGGCCTGCAGTTTCGACCTCGCATTGGTCTAATCAACACCCCTAGCGAGAGTCAATCCATGACAGTGCAGCATGCAAGCTCGAGACATTAACAACTTCGCTACATGGCCAACGAGTGCCTTTGGGCCAGAGGGCAGATGCGAATTCAAGGTAAGGTCAGGCATTTTGCATATCGCATTCTGTGTTGGGATAGTCGATGAAGCAAACTTATATTTGCTATAGCAATCGACATTTTTTGTTATTGAGTAGGCTTTCGAGACATCTCATATATCTGATTTACTGGTAGTCTCGAAAACCTACTCAATAACGAAAAAAAGTAATGTCGTCGATTGCTATAGCAAATAAAAGTTTTCTTCATCGACAATCCCAACACAGAATGTGATATGGGAAATGCTTGACCTTCCTTAAAATTCGCATCTGCCCTGTCACCCAAAGGCACTCGTGACGATTTGGCGGAGTTGCTAACGTGTCGAGCTTACATGCTGGACTTTCATGGATCGACTCTCACTGGGGGTATTGATAAGACCTACGCGAGGTCGAACCTGCAGGCCACCCTGAATAAGAACACCCTTTTGGAAAGCACGGCTATGTGAAATTCAATGGAAACATCAGTTATACTCGTATAACTGAGGGAAAAATCAACTACCAGTCTTTAAATAACCTTAAACGAACTAGGATGAACACATCTCATTCTATATCTAGCTAAGCCTTTTATTTTATTTTGCTTATTTGAGCCTATATAATAGGTAAATTAGAGCCAGATTGTCTTCTTGATGGAGTGTTAGCGTAATACTTTTACAAGAATGAGTTCCAGCTCTGATGGTGTCTAGTGAATTATGAACGAAAACTCAGCCCACTTACATTCGAAGTGAGGGAGGATGTCTCATGAACTGCGTTAATTTGAACGTCATGCTCAAGCCAAAACGGCTGCAGTACAACGGGATTTAACTACCGTCTTCTGGTGAGATCAATCTACGAATCTCTTCTTCATGCATTTTTATATGAAATGAAGGTCTCTCCAACAATGTTATCTCAGGAGATTTATTGAAACCCATTTACTCCTCGTATCTACAATTATTGTTAGCATATATATCATACTAAAGTGTAGAATAAAATGCATCAATATGACTGATAGAGCCATTGCATCAGACCATTCACAGCCTTAATGGGAAATATTAAAGAAAACAAACAATGATAGGCAACAGATTTGAGACGATGAGATTGCAAATACAGGCAGGAATTAAAATAAAATAACAGGAAAAATGTATTGAGGGAAATAAAAAGTAGCCGAGAAAGTAATTAATTCTAAAAAAAAAATAGAGAAAATATGAAAGACCTTGATTTCCCCTGTTGATTCCAGCTGATGTCGAAGATGTGCCATCTCATCCACAGCCTCGTAGAGTGATTCTAAGGAGTTTTCAATACCTTCTACTAGATCCCCGAGCCCCTCTGTCGAGATTGCGCCTGCTTCACGTGTTGAAGTGGAGCGAGGTGGTGGCAAGGGGTTTTTAGTAAAGGAAAAAGAGGTCGATTTCCCTGTGAAAGGGCACTGGGGCAGTTGACCCGGATTGAGATGAAGGGGTTTGGGATGAGGACTATCCGAAGAATCTTGGTCAGCCAAGTGACAGGACAATTGATGAATTTTGTTATGGCGTATAAGCATATCAACTGGTGGAGCGCAGGAATCTGGGGATGGATAGTCTTTCCGAATCAATATATCCACATTCCTAACTGATTCATTTGTAATCGCGCCATCGTAATAGTGATTGGACATCATTGCATCTGAAAGAGGACGCTCCGCTGCTAAAAATAGAATGAGGGCAGAACAGAGCAAAAAAGAAAATAAACAACATTCGTGCAGGAAAGCGTTCGGTCTGTGTATATGTTCCGATTTTAACGCAACCTTAGAGTTGGGATAAATTTAAATCAGCATCTCAAGAAAATGTTGAGTAATCCCGTTAATGTCATAACGTAAAGCCGTGTCGTTTATATGCCTGTAGCATTTCATTAATGTGACATTTAAAAATCGGCATCGAAAGTGCATATGTACAAAGCGTTACTTTGATTTACTGGTTGACAATTGGTAATAAATTGAGACGTCTCCGAGTGAAGCAACAGTATCGTAATCTGTAGTTGTATAGTTTGTTCTCTGAGGCTTGTAAAAGTTTTGTATGCATAGGCTTGATGAAAATACTTCGTCGTATTTAATGATCCTTCTCCCATTGAAGCAGCATTATCTTCGCTCGTGACAGTATAGATCAATTTGGCTTAAAAAAGATAAATCATATACATGGCAAAAAAAACTTCATTCCTTAGCTCATTGCACATGGCCAGACGTCCCGCATTTCAATTGATAGTGAAATTGAGGTGAAAAAAGCATCCGTTTTTATTAGTTGAAAATCTTATCGAAGAGGTTCACAATAACAAATCAGGTGACATTTTTAGAAAGAGCGGAGTTGACTTTGAGTAAATTAATCAATAATGTAAGCATATAAATGGCTCAAAATTGTCCAGGAAGCTAGGCTCTGCAATCCGAGTTCGTGATTTTTTAATCATCCTTTATAAAATTTAATGAAAAGGACAATTGCTTCTTCTTAGCATTGAGATAAGAGGAACTGAAGTTTTACTTAGCCGAAAATTATTGTCACAGGCGTAATTGTAGACCAAGGATAGAAAAATGCCTTTCGATTAATAACTTTATCCTATAGCAGTGATGTAGCTAAAAAATACTCTTTTTTTCTCCAGCTGTTAAAGGTAATGCGTTACGGTTTATAATTATTATTCCTTATTCCATATGAGCTCTTAGTTGATTAATGTGCCTATGTAGGAGACAGTTAGCTGACAGCCCATGAGTTCGATCATGGACGGGGTCCACGAAGTAAAGGCTTGACCACGAGATTTACACAGTACAGAGGACAAAAAATTAAATAATGG